ATAAAGGATTCTATAGGCAAAATCTTGAAAGAACTTGTTGTTGTTGTTATGTGCTGTCGAGTCGTTTGCAACTCATAGCGACCCTATGTACAACAGCCCTAAACCCTGCTCTATCCTGTGCCAATCTCATTGCCCCCGACACACCCATCCCGAGTCACCAAAAGAGAATGGAAGAAATAGAGAGTCCCTGTGCCAAACAGAATCCACTGACATTGAGCCATTTCAGGAAGTAGCATTTGATCAAGAACCAGTGTTTATAAAGGAAGGAGTTCAAGGTGAACTGAAGATGTTAGACAAAAAATAAGGCCCAGGAATTAATGGAGTACGAATTGAGATATTTTAACATATAGATGCAACCCTAGTCATGCACACCAGTCTATGCCAGCAAATATGGAAGATATATCTGGCCATGGGAACACACCATGGACCACCAGGAGAGCAAATCGTCTGTATTAGAGAGGGTGAAACAAAGTTTCTCCACCAAGGCAAAGATTTTGCAGCTCTGTCTCACATACTTTGGGCATGTGGCCAGGAGGGACCAGTCCTTGGAGAAAGATGTCCTGCTTGGAACGGTGGAAGTGCAGGAGAGGATGACCCGGACGGGATGGATTGACACAGTGACTGGGATAATGTGGGTAAGTGTGTTGGTATCCGTGAGACTGGCTCAGGATAGGGTAGGGTTCAGAGCTGCTGTACGTAGGGTTGCTGTGAGTCTCAGGTGACTTGATGGCTCATAACAACAACAAACAACAGGTGGCCAACTGACTGCAAGAGATCCATATTTATTCCCATTCTCAAGAAGGGTGATTCATCAGACTGGGAATTATCAGTATTGTTAACATCACATAAAATAAAATCTTTCTGAAGATATAAAAAACCAGCTGGAACAGTATCTTGACTGTGAACTGGCACAAATTCAAGTTCACTTAGAAGAGGTCGTGGCACAAGGAATATCATTGTTGATGTGGTATATCTTGACTGAAAGCAGAGAATACTAGGAAGATGTTTACTTATATTGTATTGATTGTACAAAGGCATTTGACTTTGTGGATCATAACAAGTTACGGCTAACATTGAGAAGAATGAGAATCTCAGAACACTTATTTATGCTCAGGTTAAACTTATACTAGAGTTAGAAGCTATTGTGTGAACAGGACAAGATAAAACTATCGTTTTAAATCAGGAAACGTGTGTCTGGGCTGTAGCCTTTCTCCATACTTAATCTGTGTGCTAAGCAAGTCATTCAAAAAGCTGGACTTTATGAAGAAGAATGTGGCATCAGGATTGGAGGAAGACTCATCAACAACTTGTGTTAGGTAGATGACAAAACTTTGCTTAGAGAAAGTGAAAAAGACTTGAAACACTTACTGCAGAAGATCAGGAAATCCCTCAATATGAGTTTTACCTCAACATCAAGAATCCTCACCACTGAGCCAGTAGACAATATGACAGGTGGAGAAAAGATTGAAGTTGTCAGTGATTTAATTTTGGATCCAAAATCAGTACCCATGGTAACAGCACTCAAGAAAACAAAAGTTATGTTCCATTGGAGAAATCAGTTGTCAATGCACCCAGTCTAAACCTTGGTCTTTTCATTTGCTTCACATGCATCTGAATGTTGGACAGTGAATAAGGATGACTGAAGAAGAAATGATGCCTTTGAAATGTGCTCTTGTTGAAGAGTATTTTATATCCTGTGGACTGCCAAAAGAACAAACAAATTTATCTTGAAGTGCAACTAGAGGGCTCCTTAGAGGCAAAGATGGTGAAACTTTGTCTCATTTACTTAGCATATTCTCAGGAGTAACCAAGCCTTGGAGGGAGACCTTAGGCTTGGAACGGTAGGAGGTCAGAAAAAGAAAGGAATGCCTTCAACAAGATAGCTAGACACAGTAATTGCGATGTGTCTGAACCTGACAGGGATTGTGAGGATGGTGCAGAATTGGGATATGTTGTTTGTAAGATTGCTGTGAGTTGTGGTCAACCTGATGGCACCTAACAGCAACAGCAATAAACTGTGAGAAAGATCCTGTTTTTCTTTCAGCAGGACTATGTGTACTTGACAGATTACAAAATTTAACATCCTTAAAATAATTTGCAAACCAATATAGTCATGCCAAGCTTCTTCATCATTTATGATAATCAAGATTTTTTTATGTCTTTTACGATTAAAAAGAAAACTACAAGTAATAAAAGTTGGAGAGGATGTGGTGAGATAGGGACTCTTAGACATTGTTGGGGGATTGTAAAATGGTACAACCATTCTGGAAGGCAGTCTGGCGCTTCCTCAAAAAGTTGAACATAGAAATTC